CGGTCAGGCTGGGGCTCCCCTCCGAGTCGGCGGGGCTTCCTGGGCCTCCACCCCGGGTCTAAGGACCCCGCTGGAGCGCCTGACACGCAGGGCGCGTTCCAAGCGGCTCATGGCGATGGGCACCTGCGGTGCGCAGCCGTCTGATGCTCGTGGGACCCGCTCTCTGGCTCCGAGCCGATGTCCCTGCCCCTGGTGATCCGCACATTTTGGAAGGTCGCGTGAGTGTTTCCCATGGCATCAGAGCGAGCTGGGCAGGGACACACCGCATTCTTGGTCCCCAAGGACCCGCATCTGACCTGGAGCGCCTGGCCGAGGCTACACGTCTTTATTGCTCGCCTACAGTTTGCTAGGCTTGGGGGCTAGGGACACAAAGACGAATCCCACGCAGGGGCTTGTGTCGGGTTGGGGACAGGGGAAACCAGCACCACCCGGGCAGGACGCGCGCGTACCACATCCTTTCCTTCAAGGAAGTTGGGGCTTCCGCAGGGAGCAGGCCCAGAGCGCACTTGGGGTGCAAGTCGGACCCAGGCGGGGCCTCGGCTCTCAGAGCGCCGGGCGTGGTGGGGAGGCTGGGTACGCGCGACCAGGTGGCGGAAGGGCGCCCGGCGGGGAGCTCGGGGGCCGCGGGAGGCCGCCGTCGAGGAAGAGGACCGGCGCTGCGAAGGGACGCCGGGACCAGACGGCCCCGCCGAGCTCCGGGGTGTGCGGTCCCCCACTGCCGGCTTCTTCGTGCGGGGGGGGGCCGGTGCGCGCGGGCGGCTCCGCGCTCGCTCCTCGGGGTCGGCGTCCCATTCGTCCTCTCCCTGATCTAAGTGGCACTGGAGCGCGGGGCGGGGACAGACGGCAGGTCGGGTCGCGGCCTTAGCATGAACAAACCGGCCCCAGCAAACGAAAAAGCATCTGTGGATACATTGTGCCACGCCATGTTGCAGATTTACGTAGAGGCATATCGGTACATATACATGCATAAATATGTGTATATACACACACACGTACACGCGCACACACACCTGCCCGAGTGGATCTAAATTTTGGAGAAGCCAGGCATTTTTCCGTGTTAGTATGTCCAGTGCAATGTTTGGGAACATGCTTATGCTAATCAACGACTTATCGCTTATCTGAAATACAAATTTAACTGTGTGTCTTGCAGGCTATCAGCCGCCTTGGCTGGAAGGGACCCCGGGACTTCCTGGCCCTCGGGGTGCGGCTCTCAGATCCCGGATCAGGAGAATCGAGGGCGGCTCCTTTAAGGCGCGGCGGCGCGGGCACGAGGACTACAAGCCCCATAACGCCGTGCGGCCACCCGCGGCGCTGATAGGCTGTAGCTTACTTCCGCCCCGCCTGACTTCCGGCGCGGACGCGGGGGCCGGCTGTTGTGGGTGGCGGTGTGGTCCTAGCGGGCCTTCGTGCTCCGGCTGGGGCCCGCGGCGGGCGGCCATGAACTTCTCCGAGGTGTTCAAGCTCTCTGGCCTGCTCTGCAAGTTCTCCCCCGACGGCAAGTACCTGGTGAGCGGCGGCGGCGCGGGGCCTGGGCGCGAGTGGAACCTCCGGGGGCCGCGTCCTCGGCGGG